TTGCCCAAGCTTATTTTTCTGTAATGTTCTTCACATTTATCAAGGAATTAAGACATCAAACAGAGGAAGTCTTCTTTAACCATCCCAAAATTCCTGAATTCCAGGTTTCACCTACCTTCCTATCCTTCATCTATTTACTGTCAGTAACAACAGATACTAGGGTGTGGTGAACCAAGGATACAGCCTAGTATGTAATCCAGTGAGAGAGAAGCTGTTTGATGGGCTGTTACAGAACAGTTGAACTCTCGTATACCTTCGCCCTTTAATCCCTGCTCATGAAACAAGGTGAACAATTGAAATGGTTGTTGTGGGGTTAAAAGGCATAATTTAAGGAGAAAAGACCAGGCTGGTAAACCACCTCAAATCAAACATGAAAGGTTCATAGCCATTGTAACCCAGCTTCACCTCCTCCTGTTTGTGAGGGGGTAGGGGGGATGTGTGAGGGGGTGGTGCGGGAGATGGTCTGCTGAGCTAGGATCTTCTCGTTAGGTGCGCTTATCGTTCTTTCGTGATCTTCTCGTTGTTCTGGGTTCTTTTATTCTATTCTCTTATCTCTCTTCTTTCTCTTCGCTTCTCTTCTCTTCTCTTCTCTTCTCTTCTCTTCTCTTCTCTTCTCTTCTCTTCTCTTCGTTAGCTTCAGGGAAGTGTGAGAAACAAGAACAAAATCACACTTTCTGACAAGTATGGATTCACAAATCAATGTAGACAGGAAAGAAAGTGGCACCAGCCTCGCTTTGGAAGTCTGTTCTGTGGTTTGACAACAGGGAGGCTGGCTCATCATTTAGCCATTCCTTCAGCTAAAGTAAACTTAGAAGGACCACAGAATTACAGGGTATGTGAATGCCACTGCAGCTATATTTTATAAAAACAAAAACATCACCACCATGAACAACAACAAATCCACAAGCCCAAAATAACAGCTTTCTAGTTGCGAATTCAATAGAGAATTCCTGGCAGCTCTCACTGCAGAAGCACGGGGCAGGTGTTTGTAAGGGTCTTTCTCGCTACTTAAGGATCAGCTCAAAAACTTTCTATGGAGAGTGCAACAACATGAAGTGCAGCTGAGCTCTGAAAAAAAAGGCTGAAAAAATATGCATAGTTCAGCTGTGGGCCCTAAATACACTTCTGAGAACATTTGAAATTCCTTTTCCTACTGATCACAAGAGCTTTCGTTGGCTTTTCCATGCATCCAGGCTTTCAGCCTATGGTTGCAAATGAAAGGCGGCAAAATATGTTTCAATGTACTTTCAGAATAAGGGAAATTTATATATTTTTAATATAGTTTGAAGTTACACTGTTGGAAGGCTTTTAGGAAAATATGAAGGCTAATTTTAATACTGTGGGGACTGTTTTGGGTCGCTGTCAGTTTCTGAGTACTTATTCAAAGAGACATGGTCTCAAATCTCATTGAATTTCAAGAAGCATTTGGCTTCTTCATACATATCTACTCTTTACAAAACTACAAAGCAAAGAGAATGGAAGAGGCGATTTATATAGACCCAGATCAGTCTTGCCATACATCCTGATTTTATCATTGGGAAAATACTTGAAGTTTGATGATTGAGGCATAAAGGCAGCAAGCATCAAATGTCAGTGCTAGGAAACATTTCAGCATGAGACAAAACTGATTATTGTTCAAAATGCTAGGAAGAAAAACAGAGAAAAATAACTAGCTTCTTTAACTCTCCCTTTCCTGTTGGTGAGATAAACGAGAACCGGTGCCACAGCTGAGATTTTGCAGCTCTCTACAATCAGCTCTGAAGCAGTTGCTTGCAGGCAAAAGAGCCCATTGTGTGACCTCGCCAAGAATTATGGTGGTATGGGAATAAAAAAAAAACACCAACACAAGAAAAATGTGCATTGGTTTGCATTAGAGCTCACATAACAGTTTACAGCAGCAGAAGGCCAAATGCTTACAATTCAAGGCACTGATGCTGTGCCCGATGAGATGAAAATTTCATGTCAGATAAGTGCTCAAGTGAGACAACTTGGCTTTATTTCTACTTTCCAGAGCAATCAGTAAGAGATGGCTGGTGCCCCCAGTGTAAACTGACACCAAAAATCAGCACATTAGGAGAATTTACCTTGGCACTCGAGTATTTCCTTGGATTAGAATAGGAAATCCTGTTATGTTTCCTATACTAGGTAGACACTGTGGAGATGATGGGTCAGTCAGGTTGTAATTGCAATGCATGTTGGAATTATATAACTTTACACCAGTTAAGAATCCCTGTTTTCTTGATATAGAAACAATTTCTTTTATTTTTTCCCCTCATTCTCCTTTGGCCATTTGATACACACCTGAAGATGTGGCTTTACTGGCTGAGAAGACACCTGACTTCTGGCTGAGATCCCTGAAAGCAAGCATTAGTGCTGTATGTTTGGAAGAAAGATAATAGCCTGAAATATTTCAAGAGTTTGCCTCCCAGAATACCCACAAGCTATTAACACCTGCCTCTGGAAAAAGTTAGGATTATATTAAAGCTAACTTGTTTGGGGCTTTCATATACTTATCCTAGAAGTAAACATGGAAAGATGGTTTACCCTCACATTTGTTTCAGCTGATCAGAAAATCTTTCAACTCTTAGACCTATTCTAAATGCTTTTAGCATTAAAATGTGATTGGAGCAGATACTGTGATGTCTACTCTTAATATTAACATTGACTGTCTTTCCATTGCCTTTGTGCCTTGTAGGTCTTCATTGCTTTTTTTTTTTTTTTTTTTTTTTTCCACCAAAAAAGCCTGTCACCTACTTTTTGGCACACTTTTTGCTTCAATGATAACTACAAATTAGCACCTAACCACATTCAAAGCTCTATTAAGGATTTTGAGATTTCAAATGCTGTGGCTCATTTTACCTACAGGACTCTACCATTTGAGTGTTAACAAAAAAGAGTATTTCTTTTCTCTTTCACTCTGTTCTGACTCACATATATTTTAAAATGTATTGCTGGAATCTGGCTAATTTGAAAGGATAGAGTAGAATAAACTCCAGAATGGCCTGAAGAGCAGACATGATACATCCTACATGCTGAGCTACTGGATGTGTTCACAGCCGAACCCCTCTGGCTACCTCGTATTTTACAACTCTTTTAGCATCACACAGTCATTTGTTCATTTTTCCTCACAATGTTCCCTGTGAGGTAAGTCATGTTCCTCAGCTGAAAAAGGAAATTACTAAGTGATTCAAAAAGATTATTTTTGAAAAGGGACTTGTATTCTCTTAAAACAAATTACATCTTTTAAACTCTGTTGAACTGCTTGGAGGGAGACCTTCTAGACCTTTGTCCCTCTGAAGATCAGAAATCATCAACCAATTTCTATTATAGATGTAATAAATGCATCTATAGGTAGTTTATACCCATTTTAAAAATATTAATATTGATTGGCTTTCCATTGCCTTTGTGCCTTCTAGGTCTTCATTGCTTTATTATTATTATTATTAATTATTTATTTTTTCCCCCAAACTGATTAGATGAAGCATGATCCATTTATGTGGGGGAATATTCATTGCCTCTTGCTGATGTCCCTACAGGGAACCAAACATCTTTATCTGTTCTGTCTTCGGTAGATATGTTTGAGTTTGCAGAGCCAATGCAGGGAGCCAGCTGTACTACTGGGAAGGATGGAGCCAGCAATAAGACTGGTCATCTCACTGCCCGGATACTCCCACATTGCACTGGAGCCACCATTTATGCAATGTGGCGAAGAGAGGGATGTGAGTCAGGCATAACATATGAGCTAACATGTCCATACAGACCTTATCTAGAAGAGGAATTGAATAAGCATCTTGAGCTAATCATCTACAGCTATACTACTGGAAAGCTGTGGCAAAACAAGCCAGCATCCTTTCTACAACACTGAGCTCTAACTATACAGATTAATTGTTATGCTTTATAACCCTGAAACTAGACTAGATATGGTAATGGTTCATGATGGAACTTCAAGCTCTTTTTGTTTTGCATGAACTAGGGGTTGTCTCTGTGTTAAAAGCAAATAAAACCTCATGTTTTGTCCAGCAGCAACATTATAGAAACAAAATAATCAAAATAAGATGAGATAACACAGTCAAAAAAATCTTACTTCATGTGAACCCAGAGATTAGGCAGTTCTTTGTAACACAGTAGAGTGAAAATTATTTCAGTCCCATTCAGACCTCAAGTCTTACAGCAGGTAAGTGCATGATTTTGGGTAAATGACCCACACCCAAAACTTCACAAGGACTGAAGTACATAAAATGCAAGCAATACAGTAGGCCTTGGACTGCTCTGGACTACTCTTGGATTACTCTGTGAGGAGTAATTAAAACATGTCTAAATTCTCCACGTGTTAAGAACAGGATGAATTTATTTGCTCTTACCATTTTCAATTACTTTCATATTTTGTCATATCCTAACATCTGTAGGACCAGGACTTTCTCCTCCTATATTCCCATGGAGTCTCCTTCTGTATGCACATGGAATCTCACGTGAGGGAAAAATCTGATCTTAGTTTCCATTAATGTTTTGCTGAGAAAAGTGGGACAGAGTTGCCATGCCTTACCTGCAATGGACTCTGACAGCACCCTGTGATATACAACATCTTGCATCTTTCTCTGCATTGATGGATAATTAAGAAATTACTGGTCTTCACCGTTCCTTCTCTATCCTAGTTTCTTAAGATGCAGAAAGCTCCTGTGATTATCTGCCATTTATGTGCCTGTCCTCCTTGGTAGCATGTGACTCTATTGGCTATTTTCAATCAAATTGTCAGACTTTAATGTAAAATGTTCCTACAAGTTTCATGATCAGGTAAATGAGGGAGATCCAAAAATAATTACACCTTCTTTCTGGAATTATTTTAGCTTTACCATGAACATCATCTCAATCATCTGTCAGGATCTCAAACAGACCAGATTCCTCATCTTAGTCAAGAAACCTCATTATGTCAGGAACTCTACAAATACATAAATCGCAGCCCCAGGCACTTTGCATTGTAAATGAAACCAATCACACCTTCATGATATCTGAATGTCTCAATTTATTCTATTTTTAGTTAGAAACAGAACTTGCAAATCCTGCTGTATAAGAACAAACTGAGTGAAACAAACATAAAAATTCTATAAAGAGTCTGGAGAAAAACATTATTAAATTCAATGGTTTTGAAACAAAAGAAAAACCAAAATAAGCTCTGAGAAAACCATTTATCTAGGCCAGTCCAATCTTGCAAGAAAGGAAAGCTCCAAAAGGCATTAATTCCACTTCTGTGTTATTATCCCTGAAATACATCACTGCAATTTGGACGTATAAAATGTCTTCAACAAGCTTGGAGAGTAACATGTTGACAAAAAAAATATATGTTATTAGTTTGAGCTGCTGGGTCACCTGCAGGACAGCAATACAAACAACCTGGCTAATTTAGCCAAAAAATAAGCAAGTAGTTGAGACTCCAGCCAGAGTAGGAGGGGAAAAAAAAGAATCACTAATGTAATCAAGAAAGACAGAAAATGAATACCAGGCTGAGAAGAAACATGTTTGTGGAATAGGTATGTCAAGAGAGATAGCTGCATAGTTCATCTAAATGACAATATGAATGTTCTCTCCTCAGGCTCTGTTTCTTTCTCTGTCTTGTATGTTTTTGTTTTTGTTTTGTTTTGTTTTGTTTTGTTTTGTGTGTGTGTCTGTGTTGTTTTTTTTTTCTGTTATTCTTGCTTACAGCAAGTTGCTGGAAGGGAAACTGTGAACCAATGATTACTCTCTCACTAGTCTTTTGAGTCTTCAGACTTCTTCCCCTCTCCAGAGACAACCTAGAAAGAAAAAATAATCAGTTTAGGGAGTGTGGTAGTATGGTAGAGAAAACTATAACACTAAAACTATAGAAGTAAAACACAGAATGTTTGCACTCTTCACTCAACCCTTGCTAATAGGTAGTTTAAAAGGTGGAAGGTGTCATCTATGGGACTGCCGTAATCATGCACTTCACCTATTCCCAGTTGATTATTGTTTTTTGCTATTTCTCTATGACCTGCCAACTGTCTAAAGAACAATATATATCTTATTTCAGCTCCATCAGATTGTTCTGTGATATTTTTTGAGTTAGAGCAGTGACAACAGGGAGTGGAACTGATGGAAAAAATACAGGAAATCTTTCAGTACTTCCATTCAAGAGAAAAACATGGAGAAGTGTGGAAATATTGGGATCCACCTTTAAGGTGGTAAAGCCTCCCAGGACTGGAATGAATCTGGAAGGTATTTTCAGACAAAGCCAAGTTGTGCCTCAAACCTTAACAGGGCCTTGACTGTGCCCTACTTTTAGCAGTTTCAGGAGTTAATCACCAGAGCTAGCCTTTGGTGGTTTCAGATTTATAGATCTACAACAATTTCAGTAAAATATTACACAATCTGAGGGTATGATTGAAGAGACTCTCACTTTCAGAATCATAGTTATAGGAAACCTGGGCAAGAAGGGACCTCTGGAAGGATATAGTCCAACCTCTTACTCCCACCAAAGTTGTCTTACAGTTACAGTGGTTACAAGTAGCTCATACTGCATGTTTAGATCAAGCAGGACAATTGCATGCCAGAGAACTTGCCAGGGTTATCCTGGTAATCCACAATGTGCATTTGACTTTGTACCTGTATTGTATGTGGCAATGCCTGGATCCAGCATGGACTGGTGCTGATGGTTCCCATCTGTTTTTCAAAAATAAATCAAATTAGGTAAGCCTCTGTTTCCCCTTGCCAATGCTGATCAAATTGGGATGTTTCTAAAGTAAGAATTTTTTTCCCACTGTCAAAAACCACAACGCTTTACAAGGGCAGGGATGCAGCAAAGGAGTGATAGATTTGTTATGAGAATCTTATTTAGAGAGTTAATCCACCAAGAGTCCCCTTCAGGAACCTTAGAAGAGGTTCAGCAGTGATTCAAGATGTTGCTGCTGTGCAAAGAGTAACAAAGCTGGTGAAGGGACTAGAAAACAAGACATACAAGGAGTGACTGAGGGACTTGGGGTTGTTTAGACTGAGGCTGAAGATGAGACGGAGGGGAGACCTCATTGTTCTCTACAAATACAAGAAAGAAGGTTGCAGCAAGGAGGTTGTCAGTCTCTTTTCTCTGGTGATAAGTGATATGACGCAAGGAAACTAACTGAAGTTTCATCAGTGATAGTTTATATTGTGTATTAAGAAGAATTTATTCACAGAGAAGGTGGTCAAGCACTGGAAAGGGCTTCTGGTGGAAGTGGTGGAGTCCACATCCCTGGAGGTATTTAAGAGATATGAGGATGTAACACTAAGTGACATGGTTTAGTGATGCAACTTGATAGGTCAGGCTGATGGTTAGACCTGGTGACCTGGTGATCCTTTGGTGATCCTGATGAGTCTTTTCAAATCTAGACGATTCTATGAAAACATCAGATTCTGTGAAGGGTTTCCAGATACTAAAGCCAAAACCAAACCAAACCAAAACCAAAACAAACAAAAAATATGTATATTTGCAACCTGGTGTATATCAACACATTTAACTTCAGAAAAAAATGTCTTTGAGACAGAGGGTATTTTCTTTTAGTAAAGAACTGAAGATCCAGTTTTTAAAACCATAGACAAAATCTGGGATATTCAAAGTGCACTGAATACTGACCATACACTATTACCATTTAAATAGGAAGAGTAGATTAACTGCTTTTGAAAAAATCTCATCTCCAAGGCCAACCAGAGTATTTAATCTACCCCTCAAGTCCAACACAAGTTTGTGTTCCAATGGATATATTGTACTGTCAAATTTTAAATGACCCACAACATAAAATTCAATATTCTTCTATAGTCTTATCAACCTCCTCCCTAGAAACTTTTCCTCACCTTCAGCTCATTGAGACCATTCTTGCCTGACTTCTAACTTTTTTTGTTTAGTGTCTGGCTGAGAGACATTTGAAAACCCTCAACATGATTCCCTGCTAGGCATTAAGTACTATCACAAAAACAAGATGCACACTGTGATGATTTTTTTTTCAATCAGAGATCAAAACAATTGCTTTCCATTTAATATGATACAATGAAAAGAGAGAGAATGTTGAGAGTGTTTGACAACATAAAATTTGTCCATATTTTAAAGTTTCATGTCTTTACATCCTCTCCGGTTAGTAAGAAGTAGCTTATGGAAATCATGCCCAGTAAATTTTAAGAAGGCAAGATAAAGTTTTACAAATATTTTTTCCTAAGCCATTGCTTGATTTTAAATAATTCCCTAGATTTTATTTTATTTTTTATTTTTTGGTATTTACCTTTCTACTGAAGCAAGACAAAAATCCAAGATCTGAGTTGATTCCAAATATCTGCATTACATGCCAGCTGGGAAGTAGTAACCATACATTGGCAAGATTACTTTTTCAGCTTAGAAATGAAACAAAAGCAGCCTAACGTGACAAGTCAGCTTAGTTATATTGGGGAGGGAAAAAAAAGGACAAGTTATAAGTTGACAAAAAAAAGTTGAAAAATTGTACTTGCAAATTTACCTGCTGCTATGGGCCAGACTCAAGCTTTAATGTTGACAACCACACAACTGTAGCAGTAATATGCCACAAACTGGCACACAGGGCTCAGGCACAAGTGAAATGATAAAGCCTGTGCAAACTGTAATGCATATGAGCTTTTTCCCCCACAGGTAATTTCTGTTTGTGGTGATGTCTCTTCAAGTTGGGACTGGACATGGACAGACCAACAAAACAAGTACCTCAAACTACATGTAAAGGAGGTGCCACATTGGCTCAGATTTTTAGCCCAACATACCTTCACTTTGTCGTGACTTGACAGTGACAACAGAAATTAACTCCAAACCTATTCAGGGGACACCAGAGGAATTTACCAGGCTGGCTAACAGCTAGTAGTCCCTTTCATCTCACAACAAAGTCAGCACAAGCTCTACAGCACATATGGTGTGAGCTGCTATGCTGTTAAAGAGAACATGGACTGCAGAAGAGGGAAGACAACTAGGCTGAAAAGGCCCTGGGAAAAGTAGAAATGATGCTACAGACCTAGGAGCGTGCATTGTGCAGTATAATAGCCCTTCCTACCTTGTATTTTCAAAGATATATCAAACTGGAAAATGTTAAGAGAGAAGCCATAATGCTTAGCAGATGAGTAGAAAATCCTTCAGATGAAGAAACATCATGGAAACAGGAGGAGCATGGAGACACTGGGAACTGACTGTCCATTTCTTCACCAGTACCAAAATTAAGGTATGCCATATGAAGCTACATGAAGCATATCAAGTTCAAAACAAAGAGAATAAAGGGATTTGGGGCCCCATGGGGTGTAGAAGTCTTCTAGAACTTGTTGCTAAAATCTTTAACAGATGTTAATAGTTTATGTGTTCAGTAATAGATTGGATCCATTCACAAAATACACTGACGAATATAAAGAAGTAGAAATCACATGTGGATAACAGAATCTCCAGGCTTAAAAGAGCTGCCATCATGGAGATCACTTGGGAAAAGTGCTGTATATCCTTGCACTGTTCTTCATCTGCCTTAGGCATTTACTTATGGCCGCAGTCAGAGACTGGGTTAGATTTTTTGTTGTTGTTTTTTGTTTGTTTGTTTGTTTTGTAAATCTGACCCACCTCATCTTTTCATACATTCAAGGAATATGTCCACAGGCAGGGTAGCTTCAATGCAGGGCTGTACTGACCAGTGCATGCCATTGCACTGGGAAAGTCTAAGATTAAATCCCCTTCCTCCACCCCAGTGAGCTCAATCTAAAGTGGCTCTGGAGGTTTCCTCATCACTGGCAAAGCAGGTTCAGATATTTCTTGCTGTCATGCTTTCCAGCTGGCATGTAATCTCTCAAGCTCCCTTTCAAATGACTTTTTAAAACATTGTTTTGCAGCCGTTGTTTCAGATCTAGCCACCTGGCAAAAGGGAACACCAGAGCTGGAGTGAGGAGTTGCAAATGGATTTGAAAGCACAGCTCTTACAGAGATTTCTGGGGAAGGCTATTTCTGGTTTTGTTGTGGGGTTGACTTTTTTTTTTCCTTCTCTCTCTCTCTCCCTTTTTTTTTTTTTTTTTTTTTTTTTTTTCCACCCAGGCTGTTGACAGCAAACATTGTCTCCAACAATTCTGTACCTAATTTGATTTTCAAGCTGTTAGAGAGCTGGCATGAGCATACCAGGTTTTGTCAGTGCTGAGGTTTTTTTCTTCCAAGACACTAAATAAACCCTGTCTTTTCTTCTGCACTTTCCTGAACAATATTGAAAAATACGGAGTAAAAGCAAACAAACCAAAAACCAAAAGACCCAAAGGTCTGACCTACAGAGGAAGAAGAGCAATTACTTCCCTCATTTTAGCCTGCCCATGTGTTTTAGCAAACCTTGGGGTTCAGGATACCTGAAATGAAGGACTGACACCTTGAGTTAAGTTTTTTTGGTTGGCTTTATTTTTTTTTTATTTTTTTTTCTTGGATGATCTCTTCATTCTCTGATTCTCGCAAAGAATTCATCTGGAACACAAAACATTAAAACATCACTCAAAATAAACCATTGCTTAGAGAATTTTAAATAAAAATATAAAGACAGTAGCATACAGTTCTTCTCCTGTTGAGACACAAATGCCAAAATCCAAAGCTCTACAGTTAGCTATACTTAATAGCATAAAATTAATGAACTAGCAGGTATTACACAAAGAGATAGACTGTATTTTTGGATAACTGAGTAAACTGAAGATATTTCACAAGCGATGTCAGCCATACCTCACAGAAGGGCAAGCACCATAGGACATCCTGCATTTGTCTGCACGTTTCTGGACATCTTGGTCAGTGCTGTGCTTTGCTCAGAGCTTGCTAAGCACCAAACACTGCTAAAAGAGATGTTCTGGTAACCACTGTGTATACACTACCTGTGTGGTATGAATGAATAAAGACCAAAAGTAAGGGGAGCACTTTGGCTATTAGTTATAACAGTAGTCTGTAATGGATTACTACCTTTTTGCTTGATAGAGCCTTGGAGGATGCACATAGGGGGAAAACAAAAATAAAAGCAATATCCTGAGAATGGAAATACCTGAGTTCACATCCTGGTACTTCCACAGAACATTTGCTTGGCCTTAGACAGGAAACCTTGCAACTGTTTGGCTCTCTATAGGGCCAGAGGGTGCAAGCCTGGCACCCAGAAGAGACCTTGGTCAGTGTAGTGAGCCCAGGCACAGCCGATCTTCACTCAATTCATCTCCCCATGACTCAGTTTTCCATCTTTGAAAAGGACGTAACAGTAGTTCCACTTGCCCAAGTGGCTTGCAAATCACTTCAAGGAATTTGAAAATAGCAACAGCAGTAGTTTGGAGCCTGAACTTTCAGAGATTATCATTTTTGTTGTTCACCTGTGAGCTCAATTTTCTAGCAGGCCTTGGATTTTATGAGATGCCTCACTTGAACACGTTTTGGGCCATGTTTTTGTGATGGGTGTCTTGTTTCCTAAACCTTCAAAGACTGAACATAATGTGAAGAAAGGCAGAAGATTAAGTGGTTGATTCTTTGTTTGACATGCAGGGCCACTAATTGCTAAAGAGAGCAAGCTTTTGAGTAGTCTTGACATTTTCAATGAATGCACACCTGCCGATGCTGTATTTTGCTTCCCTCAGTTCCACGAATTGCCTGCAGAAAGGAGGAAAAAAGACCCTTTTTCAGGGCTCTGACCTTCAGAGAGAAACGGAAAGAGCAAGGTTAGACCCCAATCATCTACATAAAGGAGATAAATCAAATCCTCTGCTGCAGAGGTAACACACACAGGGGGTCCTCCGTATGCAAGGAAGCCAAGGTTGAGAGAAAATCACTATGGTGCATATACCTTTTACCAGGCAGCCTAACAAATGACACATTCAGGAAATCTAAAGTCTCTGTGATTGTATCTACAGTAAACTTTATTTTTTCCCTCCCCTATTCATTTCTGAATGGAAGAGAAAGAACCAGAGCATTTACCCACCTGAAGTAGGTAGCAAACTTACAACTTATTTGATTTATTTTGTTCAGTAGAATGAGACCCTACTGAACGAAACATTCAATTACTAGTTGAAGCTGTATGAAAGTCAGCAACATTTTGAATATAGCCCTGATCTAGCTGTGGTTTGCCAAGGAGAGGTGTGAGGAAATGTCACTGCGATGGAGTCTCACCTTCCTAACCACTTACCTTGTCTGGTGTGTCACACAGCAGAGCAGATGGTGCAACATCCTCCAGCATCACCCCCAGACTTTCTAGTCAACAAGAATAAGCTTCAAAGGATAAAAGAGACTGCCCTGGCTGTGAGTATAGACAAATGGTCAGTTGGACACTGTCTGAGAAGACTAAAATGTAAAATTTCCTGGGACATGACTTTTCACTCATGTGACACAAATTTTCACTGGGACATGAGTGAATTTCAATTCATTCAAACCGGCACTGAACACAAAATGCAGCTTTGTAGCATGTCACATGGGAAAGCATCTGGCACATGTGAGTCTGTTCCATTACTAAAAGTTCAATGGTGCTGTAATACATGCAGAGTGCCTGGGAACCACAGTAACTGCTTGGGAAAAGAATAAATTATTAATACACAAAAAATATATATTTAACAATATAAATTAATATGCAAACATGTCAGACAAAAGCAATTCACACTTCTGGAAGTGTGGTGGTCATGTGTGTATAAGCAGAGTAAGCAACATACTGCATTTGTCTGAACTGAACCAGCAGCACAGTAAGAGCCAGGAAACACCATCATTACCTTCCCTGCTGCTACAAGCCAACTAGATGCAAATAATTCGTGTGAGAATTAATTTTAAAAATGGCTTTCTAAAGAAAGAACTGATTTTTCCCCACTTAATTGATTTTGCTTTCACTTTCCTTTCTGCTTCCTCTTCTTGAATAAAGTGCCACAGGCAGTAGAATAGGTACTTTAATACCAAAATTATCCTAGAAAGTAAGTTTAATCACACACCCCAAGGTTTTCAGAAAGAAGAGTGTAAAGTATAGCATATTTTGCACTTACAAGGAAGAAATGTCTTGAATTAGAGTGGCTGAAAGATTTTCTTTAGAATCTTTTTTTTTTATCTTTTTTTTTTTTTTTTTTTTTTTTGTCATTTTATTTTACACAAATTTCAAGCTTTGGGTACTTTTTAGGTGGACTCTCCTTCCTGCGTTATGATTCTGTCTACATGTCAGTCTAAGTATCCCATGAACCAGTTCAGTGACAGAATAGCACTGCAGCCACAGCCACAGTCACGAGGCGATGCTGAGGAGCAGGGTGATTATGTGATCTACAAGCACTGTTACTTTACCCTGTTCTCTCCAGAGTTCATTTGTAACCACAGACAGTGAATGGCAAGGTTCCTTGGTCCTATGAAAATTGAACAAAACACAACCGTCTGCAGACACAGAGCAAGAACATGAGCATGACTTCTGAGCCCCATTTCAATGCATTCTTTAATTCCATGCTTCTGAGACCTTGAACGTTTGTGTTCAAAACAGAGTCAAGGGAGAGGCAGCTCATCTGAGCTGCCAGCTCTCAAAAAGCACTCTAGGACTGAGTTGATGAAAAAAAAAATAAATAAAGAAAGAAAGAAAGAAAGAAAGAAAAAAAGAAAGAAAGAAAAAAAAAGCAAACCAGCTGATAAAAGCATAACTCAGGGACTTGATAGCAGCCAAGAAAGAGTGTTGCAGAGTGCTGATTGCAAAGTGATAGACAGAGGTTTCCATTTCACACATTGTCATTCGAATCTTGCAGTCCCAGTTCCACAATGTCAGGACAGATCCCTCATAAAAAGAGGAATAAAAAAGGAGCGAAAGAGGAGAAATAACTACACAGCCTAGGGTAGAAAACACAGAAAGGGGAGGGGGCATTTGTTTAAGTGTTCAGCAATTTACAGCACAGGCATTTTCTATTCACAAACTTAACTCTGATGCTCCTGAAGGTGAAGACAAAAAAGGCAAGATAAAACCAGAAAGTATTTTGGCATAGTTGGATGAAATGTTCCATCTGCAGGTATAATTGACACAGACTAAATTCCAAGAGTATAAATGCCAGGAAACTCACAGGACTGTCAGACAATCAGAGGATCCTCTTACGATTCACCCTAATCCTCTGAGATAGTTGCCTGTATCTTGTGAAGAGCCAGAGTCCTTCAGTAAAAAGGATGATGACATAACAAATACCTCTGTCTCTGCTCTTAGGAGCCTTTATATGCTCCTATGCCCAGAACAAGAAAATTTCAATCTATCTACAGAGGCACTATTGAGAAAATGCTTGAATCCTACAAAAAATCATCGGGACCCTCACCTTGAATGGAAGCAAAAGCTCATTGAAGGAGCAAGTACCATAGAGCACTGCCGGTGTCTGAAAAATAAAATCAAGTACAAGAGAAGAGGGGATGTCTGGATCTCTGATTTTACATTGGAGAAATAGAGAATACAATGTTAGGTAGGAAAAGATTTAACACAAAATGAGGAACTGAGCCAGCAAAAGTAGGAAGAAATGTTACACCCTTGGCCAAGAACTATCACTATACTTCCATCTAACTATTAAAAATGTGAAAAATATAGAGGGACATAAAAGACATCATGGAAAGGCTAAAGGGGAAGATGGTAAAGCAGATATCAAACCTAATGAGACATGGAAGAGACAGAGCCAGTGACAGAACTGTGGGCAGAGTGAAGGGTAAATGAAGTCACTGCTCATTTGTGTTCTGATTTCTGCTTTTTATCTCCAGCAGTAAAATACAGCTTTCATATATACCTTATATACATATATACCCTACAACTATCCCAGACTCTTCACTGTTATAGTCTTAAAAAATGCATCTTTAAAATGATGATATTTTACTAAATACTCACACCAGACTTAATTTCATTTTAAGCATCAACTGAACTGGAATAGAAAACCTTCATTTTCTCAGCAAAACTTTGCACCTCATAAAGGTTTTATCTGTTGCTATGGAAAAGACTTTACCCAAAGGACTTGCTTGTAGAATACCACAAGAAGGGGGAATTTTTCAGTTCCTTTCGCATACACATTTTCATACCCCAGACATTTTAATTTAATCATATTTTCCCTTCATCCTTCAGAGAGTTTCTTTTATTCCTGAATAAGCTGCATGTCTACATCAGCTGTATGGAAGCATTCATTCTTATCCTCTTCCCCACTGTAAATCAAAATCTACTTTTAATTACAGAATATCAGCTATTTCTCTTTGATGACATTCAAGTGCTTATTCCAAATTGAAAGAGCAATAGAACAACTGCCATGGTATTTTCATACATAGAGCAATGACCTTTTTAATATAATTTCATGGAAACAATGGAGGTACATTCATCAGGTTATATAGAAACTTACTGCTGCTTTTATTTTCAGACATTCCATTTTCAATTCACAATGACATTTGATGGGAGACATAAAAATGTCAGTAGATCAGTGGGTTTTTTTTTGTTTTTTTTTTTTTTTTTTTTTTTCCAGCAACCTCATCTGACAAGAATTCCCTCCTCCCTGTTTCTTTTTACAGTGCTGTGTTGTTCACTCATTTGGGCCTACTTCAATTTGCTTATTAAATATGTAAGATCTTCATTATGCAACCAAGATTTGAATCATGTAAGATTAACACAAAGCCCTTGTGAGGGATTTTTTTTTTTAACATTATTAATATTAATAGCATGTGCAGCTCACATATTTTTGTACTTTCCAAACCCAAATGTCAATACAGTGGATAAATTGTGCTTTCCTTCCTTGTCTTCTTTGTCTTCTTCAAAGGGAGGATGACATTCAACTTAACTAAAAGCAAACCTTCACACATTTCCAGCCAAGTTCCATTTCTGCATCCCAAAGAGCCACAGTTATTATGGACTGTCTTGCCTGGGCATTTGACACAAAAGAAAGGGTAACCTGAGGAAACAGCTAACAGCATAATGATTTTTATTCTTTGTGTTGACTTACACAACCTCATAAATCACATAGGTCTTACATAAGTAAAAGATCTCATTAACGACCTAATGAGTAGTGCTATAATATCTATGTAATAGAAATCTGGTCTTGAAACCCTGTCCAGGACTAGAGGAAAATTCAGATGTTTGAATGCAGGCAAAGCAGGCAAAGAAAATTGAGAAGGAACAGCTTAGACCTAATAGGTAGGGAATACGACAGAAGAAAAAGACATCTTCCATCCATTTGCTGTTGGACTGAAACCTGAAACATGCTCCTGAAAGGCTGGCTTAGAGGCTCTTTTTTTCAAAGAGCCTAGCACTTCTCATTCCTTTCTTTCCAAGCCTATGCGGATGGGGAGGTATCTCATACTTGCCCTGTATATACAGCAACTTAGCAGATGAGGGTTCAATCAAGAAATGGCTTCAATTCTCTATCTTTGACACAACTCAAATTCCCATTTCTTGGAGAAGTTCTACAGTGAAATATTTTGACAGTTATTGTGTTATCTCTGCACATCCCCATCTCCTCTTCTGACTTCTCTCCAGCTGCCTCCTGCTCACACAGACTACTGCAGAATGTGGTGTTGTTGGAAGGCAAGGACAGAAAGTGGCTAAGGCTGGCTGCACTCCATCAAGTTTGGGCTCTTCCCCTCCAGAGGAAAGGAATAGACTGTTAAATTACTTTATTGGCAGTACACAAACAACCCTC